TCCTGGAACTGGAGTTACAGAAGGTTGTAAGCTGCCTTATGGGGGCTGGGAACTGAACCTGGGTCCTCAGCCAGAGCAATTAGTGCTCTTAATTGCTGATTGATCTCTCCAGCCCTTTATGTATTTATTATGACTATTTTGAATGTATGGGAACCTGACAATATTTTCCCTTGTGACTCAGAAATTTTTGTTCATATACAGAGCCGAGAAATGGGGGAAATACTCATATTTCTGGCATTTGATGAAAGCCCATGCTGAAAAAGCCATTTTATATATATTAAGAGTAAAATAAAATTAATCTTCACATGTTTCTTTTAAGTTAAAGGAAATTAGTCCTGGGAGGGGATAAGGATATAATTCAATGGTAGAGTAATTCCCTGGGATGTATAAGGCCCTTGGTAAAATCCCCAATAGCTCACAAACAATGTTAGTCTTATGTTCTCTAACACTGATTGTTTTTTTAGTTTTCTTTGTGTGTGTGTGTGTGTGTGTGTGTGTGTGTGTGTGTGTGTGTGTGTGTGTGCATGCATGTGTGGGGGTGCTAAAGCATGTGTACATGTATGTATTTGGGGTAGAATAGACCTCCTCAAGTACGCTAGGTAAGTTCTGCTGAGTTGCATCCTGTTATTGTTAAAATATTTAAGCCTGATTTTTGTGTGTGTGTGTGTAATTGGATATATTTAGAGCTTAAAATATATGATATAATCCTCTTGAGCTTATTTACTTGACTAGTTCTGCAAAAATCAGAAGATTTAAACATAAATTACCTACATCTAAGTATGTATGGTATTTCTCTATATTGTGTGTGTATGTATATACTGAACATGTTGTGTGTACATGTGTGTATACATGAATAGCTGCTTCTGTTTTTCAATTATGGATTTTCATTGCCTATAGAATTATAGCTAGAGGGACACTAAAGAATGAAATGGAGCCATCAATGCTGAAACATTTTTTTGCTAACTTCCTAATAATATTGTTCATTGTAGAAAATCAGGAGGAAAGAATAAAAAAGAAAATTCCTAGTAACTTTTGATTGGAAGCATCTAATATTAATATCTCAAGAACCATTTCACCCTTCATCATTTAATGCTCACATACTAGTTTCCAGTTCTTACAAATGGGTTTGACTTCTGATACCATGCTGCTTAGATATGAAGTAGAGAAAATAACTGAACTCTTAACGGTGATAAAGAGTATATAGATGTGTGTTGAACAGGTTGCTTGGGACTCTGAACAAATTTGAAAATGAACATGTCCTTAAAAGTGGGTATATTTCAGAACATGTAACACTGCATGTGTATGGTGAACCACTGTAAAATGTTCAGAATGGGGATACAGAGAGGATAAAGACAGTGTTGGCATTTTGAGTGTGTCACCACAGACATGAAGTTCAGGCTCGATCAGGAGACAAGGCTAGATGTGCTCTAAAACATGTGACTACACAGACCCTTGTCCTCTCATGAACTGAGTACATCTGAAGAATTTGGGCCATTTTCTCCAGTTCAAAGCAATAACTTAGAACTAAAGCTAGCTCTTGAAAAAGGAAAAAATATAAGCCAATAAATAAAAGTTAAAACCAAAGATTTCTTTTCAGGCTGTTCTGCTTATATTTCAAAGACAGTACATTATAATCTGTGAGAAGGAGAAGAGCAATGTTTGCATTAATTATGTAAGATACCACCAGAGCTGAAGGCATAACAATCTAAATTGATCATTCCATGGGTAAAAAAAAAAAAAAGACCTGCAGTCTAGGAATTTATATCATTTTCAGAAGCACCATAATTTGTTCAAAAACTTTCACTCATGTAATCTAGCCATAGTTATAACTGTAAATGTATATATATATATATATATATATATATATATATATATGTGTGTGTGTGTGTGTGTGTGTGTGTATAACACAGGTATGCACTAACCAATATGGCCATACTTTACTGAGAGAATAATAGCAATCAGATCAGGGAATTCACTAACATAACGCCTTGGTCAATTGCTAATATATCCTGAAATGTTTGTGCACTCCTGTTGAATGCCTCTCTGAACCTGAAGTCAATGTTTCAAGAAATGGTGAATGTTAATACCATCTACCATGCAGGTAAATTGCTAGCATGTCACATGGGTAAGATATAGTGTAGGCCCTCAATAAATGAAGGATAAACAATGATTTGATGAACAATCATTCAGATGAAGAAATAGTTTATTGTAAAAGAAAAATCTTGGAAATACTAGCTCTAAAAACTGAAAAACAAATGTCAACACTTAGTTCATTTGTAAGATGTTTGTTATTAGGCTCGAAAGAAAAAATTTCACTGGGATTTAGAATTGAATACAGAGTTATATACTGCATTTTATTTATGCAAATAATACCTCAATAAAGTTGATTTAATAAAAGAGAAGCTTTACAATATATAAGCTGTAGAATCTCCTGCAACTGTAAAATGCCATTGCCTTCCAAAGTGGAATGATTAGCCCAAGGTCAAAAGCTATGCCAAATAAGAAATATGATTTATCAACAACTATTCAAACTACTGAGAAAGCATTAAGATATGATCACATATGTATATAATTCTTATAGAAGATGAAAACATCTACACAAATTCTATATGAGATTTTAATTATATTATATCTATATTTATATCTATATTAGTCATATAAATATATAAATATATATTCATATTATATCTATATTAGTCAATCACGTTTGTAATGTCTCATTACAAAATAAGAGTGATAGAAAAGAATATATAATCAAATGGAAATATGGCCACAATATGCTACTTTTACATAAAAAGTAGGTTTTTAATACTGAATCACTCATAAAAAATAAAGAAGTGTGTATATATTTGTGTGATGTGGTAAGAATCAAACCAAAGTCTTCATAGATAATATAAATATGGTCTACCACTAAGCTACATGTCCAGTCAAATAAACTAGTTTTTAACTTTTTAAAGCTAGCTTACCAAACAATAGTTAATTCTAAGGAGTAATTAATGAATAATTTGGAATTTTTAAAGCTTATTCATATTTTTAAACTTTAAAAAGTTAATGTGTTAGTTCTATAATTGCTTTTTCAAGTAAATTACCATTTTACAACTAAAGATCATAGTAACTCAGGTAGAGTTCTAAGTGGGCTCTGTGAACTACATATGACATTCAAGTTTTCTACACATGGTAGAAACAATCCAACATTACAAGTTGAAATCATCTATGGGCCTGAAAATGTAGTGCTTAATTATTAACTGATCTTTATTTATTTATTTATTTATTTTTAATTTATACACATAGCTACACTGAAATGACATATAATATTAATTGAAATGTTTTAGACATCTCTGGCTAGTAGAATTACAGCTGATATTTTTTTTTCTTTTCATGCTTTTTACTTTCATTTTACAGACTTTCTGGAAGAAATTTTTATCACTTTTTTAAATTATTATTTTTTTTTTGAGATAGGGTACCACTAAGTAGTTCTGGCTGGCCTGAATCTCACTATGTAGGCCAGGCTTGCTTTTAATTCACAGAGATCTGCCTGCCTCAGAGTGCTAGGCTTAAAAAGTATGTTTTACCAAGCCCAGCAAAATGCTTTTTTAAAGGTCGTTCTGTTTTATTTTGTGGCTAATGATACCTTGTGTATTCCTTAATGCCTCTAGAACCTGGACCTGAAATCCATCATTCAATGAGAACTATGACAGGCAATTCATAGGTGTGATCCTGCCTCCCCTCCACAACTCTTCATTCATAAACACAATTTATGTGTAAAAGGGTATATGAAAGCAAAGATTCCCATGGGTTTTATCACATTAACTTCATTTTGTACTTGTAGGTTTTTTGTTTCCTTGTTTTGTTTACTAAGGCAGGAGTCTCACTGTGTAGCCTTGGCTGGCCTGGAAAGTACTGTGTAGACCAGGCTAGCCTCCAACTCAGATAACTGCCAGCTTCTGCCTCCCAAGTGCTGGAATTAAAGGTATACACCACCATACCCAGTGACCACATTAACTTTAAATCTTAAGCATTATTAGCTTATAATTTCAAATAAAAGCAGACTTAAAAGTAAAGAATGCATGATTTTTTAACAAAAACAAAATAATAGCTAAAAATTTAGCCACATTGGAGAATTCAGTTCAGATTAATCCCTACAAAGCCAAACAGAAACAATATACAATCAAGTACTAGAGAGTGGTATCATTTCTATATTTTTATGCTGTATATCTGGTCAAAACATCCCAAAATAAGACTGAAGAGATGGCTCAGCATTTAAGAGCACTGGCTACTCTTTTAGAGGACCTTGTTTTGATTCCTAGCACCCACAAGGTGGCTCACAAATGTCTGTAAATCCAGTTCCAGAGGATCAGACACCCTCTTCTGGACTGCTCAAGTAACATGCACACACATGGTACACAGAGATACATTAGAGATACATTCAGGCAAAATGCCCACACATATAAAATAAATAGTAATAAAAAATCTTTTAAAAATCTACAGAATAAAGAGTTTAAAACCTGCCAGGCTTTCAAATAAATACCCAACAAACCAACGTAGATAAATCATTGAAATGATCATAATGATGACTTAATAAACCATAGAAATTGTGAGCACTGGAAAGGGGGCAGAAAAATCACTTTACACAACATTCATACTTTAATAAAAGCTATCACTTTGGTTTCACAGGGGACAAATCAACAGAAGTAACTTGAAACAGTTTTCTTTATGGTAAAAAAAAAAATTGCCCTAAATTGCAAGTGCTTTTCCATTCTCCTAGGCAGCAAATAAAAGTAACATTGACCTTTAGGTCTACTGAATTGTAAAGAATCAGTGATATTATAAAGTTAGTTGTGAAGAGGAGAATGTCTGTTTGCCAACTGGGACTAGAAGAGTGCAGCCGCTTAACCCCGAAGCAGTCTCCTGATAGATTTATACAACAAATAGCTTGCACACTACAAATTACACTTAATAACCTGACATTTAACCTGAAGGAAACATGGCCATGTCCTTACCTAAAGACTGGTAGAGCTCTGTCATTTTGGGATGGTCCCAACAAGTTGTTTGGGTCTCGTGGCTAAAACACAAAATATAAAAAGAGACTTTAGAATCTACAGTGCGCGATAGCAAAAGAAAGACAAATGCTCTTACTTCACTTTGCTACTTCCAAGGACTTCCATAGAGAACTTCAGACTGCCTTGCATGCAGAAACGCTTCTTTATTTTCAAATGGAAAGAGCAATAATAACATGATTAGGTCTAGAATTTGTTTCTTTTTCACACCCACACATTGAATGCACCACTGTTTTTAACAAATTCAACATTGACCTTGCTATTTAACCGGTCTGGATTGCCTCACTTCTCCACTGTGAAACATACAAAAAGGAAAATGACAACTGTCAGCTCTGTCAGTTCCATATTTACAAATCCCCTAATTTCTCATTTGTTTCCTTTGCCCTCTTCCCATTACTCTTTCTTTTCCATGGTCAGACCTCATGTTGGTGACACCTGTATTCCATTTCAGCTTAAGGCATATCCAGCACTCAACTAATATATCCTATCATTCTTCCTTTTTCCCATTCCTTTTTAAACTCAGTACCCTGTAGTAGACCACTTCACTTCTTCCTATATTTACTTAGTCCTGAATGAAGCATTCACACTTCTCCATTTCTTAAAGTGTGGTTGCCGGCTATTAGCTCCTGCCACAAAAAGAACAAAACACCTTTGTTTCCCATTCAATTACATGAACAAACCCAGGAGAGATAACTACATATACTTTACCTTACCTTGGCCCATCTACATGAATCACCATAGCATCATATTTCCTGGTTTCAGAGATTACATGGTGAGCTTTGATAGAATAAAATGCAGCTTGGAACAATATTTTAGCATTCATATGCTGAGCCTATTTCTAATCTTTTAATGGGAAAAGTGGGGACCAGAGAGGGAAGAAAGAGCTTAAATTTGGGCATGTCAAGGGGACCAGAAAGGACAGAGGCTCCACATAAAAAGAGGAGTTTGGGGAAGCAATAATGTCAAATGAACTCAGTGTAGGTTTTGAACTTGGGGCTTTACAGCCTAGAGGTGGTGTAATTTGAGGCAAGTGTACTCACCTGGTAAAGAGGTGAAAGGATTAACTGACATTGAGAACTGACACATCTGAATACAGTCATTTTGCTGCCATGTGGTCCCCAAGTTACCATTCATTACAGTAGAGATGTGGGAGCTTAAGAATGATCCTTCCCAGAGAGCAAAAACTATATTCACCATGTATTTGGTTAAAAAGAAGTCAAAAGGAGAAACACCTCAAGTAGTTTGATAAATAGAATCATAAATATCATAAAGACAGATGGAAATTGCCCCAAACAGCACAACTTCAAAGACCATCCTCCCTGTGAGATTTACAGTTCAGTAATTGAGCTGTGAAGGCTACTGGAATCAATTCGCAAGAGAATGTTCACTTGTGAATGGCTCTCACTCCCTTCCAAATGTGTCCATTTCCGTTCTGCAGAGAAAATTCACAGTTGAAGAGTGTCAATCAGGACTATGAGTTGAGGGAATATAACAGAGTGACATGGGAGTCGTGAGGAGTAAGAAGAGCAAGGGGGGCGGCAGACACTTCAGGAAGGTTTGGGAAAGCCCATGACCACGCTGGTTTATGATGTAAAGAAGGAGTAGGCGGGACTGGTACTTTATATGCACAGCACAAGGAGGCTGCAGCTTGCAGCTTCATGGAAAAAGTGTTGCTTGTTCTCGAGTGATTTGTAGCTCAAAAAGTGTCTGTGTCTCCCAATTCCATAGACAAGGACTCCGTCCTGAATTCCAGCTTCCTCCCTCTCCAAAGCCCATATAGATGTAAGCACTAGTGAAAGAAAAGGGGAAAAGATGGAAATATCCACACATACGGCCCTTACTAGACACACAGTGCAATAACAATGTCCCATTTCCAGGACATTGGGTCGACTGTGACATCTTTAATGGACCTGCAGGAAACTGTCTGGCTAAGCTGATAAACTTGACCAGGCAAGGACACACAACCACTCTGAAAAGCAACCATCTGAAACTGTTTCACAGAAGAGAAACAGGGCAATGAAATAAACTTGTAGCAAATGGAATTCTTAAAGGAATGAGAAATGTGCATACAATTTCCAGCAGAATTCCACAGAGAGACAGAGAGAGAGCGCTAGCAGGAGCTTGATATAGTTCCCCATGCCCCATGTACAAAAGACAAACAAAATAAAACAGGGAGCAAGTTCGCATTTATCAACATACCTACATTGCTAGTCATTTAATGACAGTTATTGAGCAGGTTAAAAATAGAAAAAGGGTATTAGAAATTGCATTTTAATCCATCAGCCCTCAACAAAATTGGAATTTCCACTGTGAGAAGACAGAAGAAATTACCAGTCCCCTTCCCATCCTTCTTCCTTATTTGTTTGATAGGTACTATTCTCCCAATCACCTAAGATTCCAGAGTACTAGCATAAAATAGCTCAAAGAACTCCTCAAATAATTCCCCAAATCAACCTTCTTCTATCTTCCTCCCCTTCGACAAAGAAACCTTTCCTTTTCAAGCAATCCAGAGTAACTAGAAAAGCAGATTTCCATGTCCCCCTGCAGTCTCAGTTTCCCTTCAACTGCAAAGCAGCCAGAAAAGAAGGAAGTGGAAAGAAGAGGAGAATAAAGTACCGGTATGATTGATCCTCAAAATCAGAAAGATAATCTCTTCATCATTTAACACTAATGTGCTTGGCAACATAGTTGAATGAACATCAAATTGGGGGATAAGAACCAAATATTCACTTCACTGCATGTGGGAATTTTGTATCTGGGGTGACATCAAAGCCCTATGGAGACGCAGTAAGCCTCCTTCCTCAAAAGACAGGAAGGCAATGGTAAGCACACATTTACCTAGCTCACATCTGTATTCTGTCTTGGAGGACACACTAATTTGAGGGGAGGGAGAGGTAATCAGGTTGGCTTTTACACCTGCATTTGTTACTCTGTGGCTGTCTTCAAAAAATAAAATAACAAAAAACTATCACCTTCTTCAAGATGGGTAACTCACATTTACCTGGAATATACAGCTACTATAGAAAACTATGCTCTGCTCTTCACACATCAGGAAAACACTCCATGTATATATATGATTTCCAACAAAAGAGGATCTTCTGAAACCGGTTCATAGGTTATTGAGTACATCTTTGTTCAGCCTTCCTGAGAACAATGATGTTCAATATAGACCACAAGTCTTTATGTCCATTAACACTGACACAGACTATGTAAACAATCCCGAAAACCTTCCCCAAATCTTTGAAACATGCGATTGAGTTTGGCCCCACAGGTTCCAAACCCTTGCATCAGATACACCTCTCTGAGCAATCTTCAACCTAACACCACCACCCTACCCACACACATACACTTTATGTGTACAAACTGCAAATAATCTCCTTTCCTTTTATTTGACACTGTGATGTAAATTAAAATACTAAATCACTGGCCGTGACAAAAGATCCTCACAACACCTACTTGTCAATAATCAGAAATTAAAGCATTACTCTATTGAGCATAGGGTTGACCTAATTTCCTCCCAAAGAATTTAAATTTTCTTTCACCTTTTTTAGTTTCAAGTAGTGTGCAAGGTTATTATCCCCGCCTTGGAGCTGTTCCTGCTGTCAGTGCTCGAATACTCAGACTTATTGGAATTGCTTTTGTAGTTTCTTAAAACCAAACATTAGACACATAAAAGTAACAAATACCTAAGGCATTCACTGAGAAAATGGCAGGTGCCTAATTAAAGTAAGATTTCTTTTGCAACCACTGTTATTTGGTATTGAAAATATTCTATATTCTTTCCACTATTTCCCAGGGATGAACTAATCACTATGCACCAATGTAAAAAAGTAGCCTTCTCTTATGTTTTGCAGAAGATTAGGGTTTGGCTTCATATATAGTCTGGAGCACACACACACAGAGAGAGAGAGAGAGAGAGAGAGAGAGAGAGAGAGAGAGAGAGAGAGAGAGAGAATTTCCCTTTAATCTGAGGATCAGACTCTTTCTAGAGGAACCTTGGCATTTGCATGCTGAATTGTTGAACTTGGCTAGTACGGCTGGAATACTGGCAGGGTGGGGATGGGAAATATATTTAGAAGTTTCTGCTACTGTGGGGAAGGGACTTCAGTGGCTATATGTCAATCTAAGCATCAGAAATACCATTCTAGTTCTCATTTCTTGTTCTCAAGAGATATTTCACATTTGATTCTGTTTGGCTCAACTCAGGGCAAAGATGACGGCCTTGGTGGCTCTTCCAGCTGTTACTTGTCCTCCCAGTTCTATTTGCTTTGCAAGGTTTACCTCCCACCCAGCCTCAACTTTGGCCAAGGCAATTTCACTGCAGGGTCGTGTCCAGTGCAAGATCAAACAATGACGACTGAAAACAATTCCACAGTGCTCAAGGGTCAGAAGCCTTTCTGTGTTCTTTCATTTGCTCCTTTCGCTTCTTTAAGAGCAAGGATTTCCTCCCTAGAAGGTTTGTAACAAGGAAATAAAAAATATCTAGGCAAAAAAATAAATGATGGGGTGACAAGGACAGACGGTGGGAGTAAGCTCGGGGACCAGGAAGAACATATTGGTGAAGAAAAAAAGAATGTAGATTTCACGTCAAGACTTTAGTTTGTTACTTGAACCAGAAGATGGACATTTCCTTGATGTTAAATCATTTTACAATTAATGCTATGCTCCCTTACACAATTAAACCCCTTCAATTTAAGTTTCAAACTTAACTTCACATTTAACTGAGATAAAGCATTGTCTTTCCCTTTCCATTGTGATCAGATTAGGAATGACAAACTTTGCTTAAAGACAACCTGGAGAAGCAGAAAAGACACCCTGAAATGACTTCACACCTCAAAAGAAGCCCAAGAAATAAACAAATAATTATAATAGTAATCCATAGAAAACCCCAAACCCCCAAGCCTCTCTTTCTTCTCTCAGTCAATTCCTGACTTTCTAGGCTTTAATTGTTCTTATTATATTTTTCCAAATCCTAAAGCATGAAATAAGCACAGAAAAAAACACA